AAAAAAAAAAAAAAGTGAAATGGAAAAAAAAGAAAAAAAAAAAAAAAAAAAAAAAAAAAAAACCCCCCCCCCCCCCCACAAATGACAAAATTGCATAACAAAATGACTAAAACTGAAAATATAAATAGAAAGGCTAATTCAAAATGCTAATAGATACTTGTTAGAAAACACTCTCTGTTTTGAGAATGCCTCCCCCCTCCTTTCTCACTCTTTCTCTCTCCTTCTCTGAATCACCCCTCCTCTATCTGTTCTCTCTTTCTCTTGTATGGTGTTTGAATGTCTCTTACTCAATATTCAAGGTAAAGGAGTTTGTGCTGATTTATAAGGGGGGTTCAGCCTCTGTCGCCAGGAAGTCTATTCCTTATATGGATATGTTTTTCTGTATATGTGGCAATTTTATACAAAACACATGTTCTTGGGAAAAACATCCTGTATGGGTATGTCCCCCTATCCTCATTGGTTAAGAGGGTGAAAACTCCCCTCGACATGCCTATATAAGATCTGTATTTCTGTGAATAAATTGAAGTATTTGAGAATACATTTGAATGTGTGTTTTCTTACTTCCCGGCCGTATTTATTTACACTTGGAGAGACTGAGAAGATTTCACGGTGGCAAAGAGATATCGAGGGACCAAATTGTTATTTATTAACAACCTCCATAATAAGACTGACAGACTGCAACGGTTTGTGTTAAAAATCTTTGTTTGTGTTCTACTGAAGAAACAAAGTCACATACATCTGGGATGCCCTGGGGGTAAGCAGATAAACATCAAATTTTCATTTTTGGCTTAACTATCCCTTTAAGTTGTGGAGGTTGTGGAGCTAGGTAGTAGGGGCTAGTACTCCATAATAAGACTGACAGACTGCAACGGTTTGTGTTAAAAATCTTTGTTTGTGTTCTACTGAAGAAACAAAGTCACATACATCTGGGATGCCCTGGGGGTAAGCAGATAAACATCAAATTTTCATTTTTGGCTTAACTATCCCTTTAAGTTGTGGAGGTTGTGGAGCTAGGTAGTAGGGGCTAGTACCATGGGCGATGACCAGACCAATGGCGGTAGGTTCAGAGAGAGGCAGCATGGGAGTGATTCCACTGAAGTGACTGTGCTCTCCATGGATATGCAGGCTACACTGGAAAAGAAAATGGAGACAATCACACACACACATTTACAGGAACATTTAAAGTCGCCATAAAATGAAAAAAAAATGAAGCCTTACATCTCACAATCCAATCAATAACCGATGTATAGAACCAAGTCACTCACCACCTTGTTTTTTTTTCTTTTCCAATATTCCGTTATACTCAGATGTATGTCACAAAATGGAGGAAAAGATCTGTTGCTACTTCTGTTTCATTGCTTTGAAGGAAATCAAAATTGGCCTTTTAACTTTAAGGGCTAATCTGTATGCTAATGTATTGATAAACGTTTTATTAGCAGATGTAATCATTTAAAATTGCCTTGCGTGAAATGTTTGTCTAATTATGGCTCATTTTAAAATCTTCAATATGTTCTTGCCCAACTTCCTGTTTAAACACATCAACAGAATGGGAAAAAATGGTACTTATAGAAACTTTAATAAAATGCAATTTCTCATCACTCAGTCCTCAGTTGTTACCTTTTTTGAGGTTTCTGGACAATTCACATTCTCTGGCTTCTTCAGAAATCTCCATCTCCCACCTCTGTCGAATGTAATGACTGAACGAATGCGTCCATCTGCGGCCCAACAGGAGTAAGACATCTTTTACAATACAAGCGTGATTAGCCATTTGGCACTTAAGGGGATAGTTCATCAGAAAATGGGAACTCTGTCATTTGTCAAATATTTCTCAACCCCAAAAAACTTTCATTCATCTTTGGAAAAACAACTTTTTTCAGAGAGGTTTCTCTCTCCATTGAAAGTCCATTCCACTTAAACGTTGATGCTTCAGGAAGTTCATAAAAGAAATTCATATGCATTAGTTATAATACATTACTTTGATCCAAATCTTCTGAAGAGACACAATTGCTTTATATGATGAACAGATTTAAAGGGATAGTTCACCCAAAAATGAAAATTCTGTCATTACTTTCTCACCCTCATGCCGTTTCTCACCCTCATGCCGTTCAAACCTGTAAGACCTTCGTTCATCTTCGGGACACAAATAAAGATATTTTTGATGAAATCCGAGAGCTTTCTGACCCTGCATAGACAGCAACGCAACTGACACATTCAAAACCCAGAAAGGTAGCAAGTGCATCATTAAAATAGTCCATGTGATCAGTGGTTCAACCGTAATGTTATGAAGCTACGAGAATAATTTTTGTGCGTGAAGAAAACAAAAATAATGACTTTATTCAACGATTTCTTCTCATGTGGTGCTGCTGATGCAGGAGCCGTCCTTCTGACATAGAAAACGCATGCACTGTGCCTTGTTTACAAGCAGAGGAATGCACACGTATGCATCGTCAGTTGCATTGTTGTCTATACAGGGTCAAAAAGCTCTCAGATTTCATCAAAAATATCTTCATTTGTGTTCTGAAGACAAACAAAGGTCTTACGGGTTTGGAACGACATGAGTGTGAGTAATTAATGACAGAATTTTTATTTTTGGGTGAACTATCCCTTTAATTTAATTAGATTTTTAATGCACACACATAGAGCACATCAACGTCACATCAACATCTATGGTAAACGGAAGCTCAAATGTACTTCCTTGATGCAGAATTTACATTTCTGGGTGAACTAACCCTTTAGGCACCCTTTAAGACAAACTAAATCACATGAAACAAGTGTTCATACCCTCCTCCAGTATGTTGGTGAGATAGACCCCTCTCAAAGATGTAACGTTTGTGAAATCGCTCTTCCCCTCCCCACCAAACAGGTGGCGCTCCAGAGACTTAGAATACAGGATTCCACGGTCATCAGAGGTGTAGATTGTGCCAAAATATGTGTCTTCTGTAAGCATGTGAGATCACATCAAATACAAACACTCCGCTGACACAGCTTACTCTCAGACGAGATAAGAGATCAGCCGCAAGCCATTATTATTCACACACATACATAGCAAACCCATCTAACCGGCTTCGTGTGACAAAATGGGAATCGAACATCCAATGAGAAACAGATCGACATATAATAGGCATGATGGGAAATAAGATAACTCTTCACATGAGCAATGGACTGTATGTGATACATACATGTAAATACAATGAGGGGTGTATTTGTGTGTAACCTCCAAGGCCTGACTGAAAGACTACACCATCCTCACTCTTATCTGTTTCCAGTGATCGTCGCAGCACAAAGACCTCCAGACTCGAAGATGAATAGAGTACACACTGACCCAAAAGAGTCTAGCATTTTGTGCAGAGACATTCTCTGATATGTCAGCACAAAGTGGACCTCGCTTGACGAGTCCAGCCTCCACACTGTTAAACTGACAGCAACAATGGTTGAGCTGTTAAATAATACTGATACATTTCTTTTACACCTCTCACAGGATGGAGAAGGAAGTTAAAAAGCATGAAACCGCACCTCCAGGGTTGTCCACATGCATGAAGATCATGTCCTCGTCTCCGTCCAAAACGGAGTAGAACTGCAAACAGACATCAACAGTGAGTCAAACAGTTGCACACAGCCCTCCAGTCATGTTTGAGGTTGTGACAGGTTTTTTCTGCCAAATCAGCAGGACCAACTTGAAAGGGCAAGTAACAGCACAACTGTCATACATTTCCCCAAACATATTTATGAAAGTAAAATAACAATACAAAATAAATACATTTTATTATATGAATTAACAATAAAGTAATACATTATTATATTTATATAATTTATTAATTATTATTTAATTATATTAATATAAAATTAGTCAAATATATATTTATTATATTTTTAATTATTCATAAATTATATTATAATATATTATAAATAAAAAATATATAAATACATTTATCAGTTTTATTATAAGTGTGTTCAAACTTGTGTGTTATAAAGAAATAAAAAATGTATACATTTCATTATATCAGTTAATGATAATACTTATAATATATATAATTTAGTACAAGTAATTAATGAAAAGTAATATCTTTTTTTGTTTTTTATTAGTGTGTTCAAACGTTTGTGTGTTATTAACACCTGCTCTGTAGTTGCTGACGGTAGCTGAGCTTTTCTGAAATGGTCACCCTGGTCTGAGGACACATAGATGATACGGGGAGAGCCCTGTAAACACAACATGTCATAAATTAAGCATGCTTTGATGATTCTTACAGGAGGGAAAATGAAAAATGGTGGGCAACATGGTGTGTGTTCATGGGGGTGAACACATGCTTGAGTGTGCATGTTATCTGAGTTCCACACCAGTTTTTCCATGACAGAGGTAAACAGGAAGCCACCGATGTATCCGAAGGAGAAGATGTTCTTGGCGATGGTGGTGAAATTTTTGCCGACATCCTGTGTCCGTCTCAGAATGAGCTCGCCTCGTCTTGCTGCCTCCACTGGTTCAAACCCAATTACCATTTAATTGATAAGCATTCAATTGAATGGCCAATTTTCTCAGTTGTACATGAAAATTTATCTCAAAGAATATCAGTTATTCTTGTCAAATGATTCCTTTAGTGTTATTTAATGAAAAAAAAACATAGATGAAATCACGCACCAGTTCCTTTTGGGCTGGAACTGAAAAAAAGAGTGATTCCAGATCCCCTTGAAAGGAATAAAAAAGGGAAACTACATTTTACTTACAGAAATTAAATTATTTTTTTCAATCAAATGACGTTTATTCACTGTCTAATTGAAACAAGTTATAACATATATATACAATATTTTGAAAATCAAGATATTCAAATACACAGACATTCTAAATGTTTAGTTTCTTGTTTGGTTACTCATGTCACCCTGTTATTGTTCTCACCATGTGAACGTGTGAACTCCTTCGTGAACTTCAGACCAACTGTTCCCAAAGTCTTCTGAGAGCCACAGCCCATCCTGAAGAGAGAGAAGAGCATGTCTTAAGGGTCTTAAGTGTCAGCTAACTAAAAATACAATAATGGTGTGGCAGAAACCTGAATCACCTCACAAAACCTTACTCACATCAATGCTGATGACCACAAGGTATTTTGGGTCCTGGTAGTGGAACTGAATGGCCTGTGCTGGATGGAATGGAAGCTGCACTGATCTGAACGTCACACCAGCATCCATTGACGTAAAAATAACTCCTCCTGGGCTTTCGGTGAAAGGCAGGTTGGCTGTTAGAATCACCTGTAATGACACAAAAAGTGATATATATAATATATCATTTACTTATAAAACAATAATGTTCAGAAATCATGAAGAGGGTCAATTACAGTGTAGGTTTGTTTTTTTGTTTTGTTTTTTGAGATGATGACAAAAGTTAGTTCCAAAGAACTAACACACAGCCGGATATTAGCTTCACACCAACCCCACTTCAGAGGAAGTTTTTCAAAAAATGAAGCGTAGTTTCATGTTGGGTTTTAACACAAAGCGGCTGATGTCATTAGCAATGTCTGTTAAAACCCTGAGACAATTGTAAATGTCATGGCCTCTTCTGTTTGGACAGAATCTCTGTGGTGTCAGAATGTAAAATAATGTCACATATTGACAACTACTTACAATGACAAAGTGAAAAAAGGTCATGCTATTTCTAATATTATTATTAGTTATCAGAATTAAGACAAGTTGACTTGTGATTTTCTCAGAGATACACTGTAAAAAAAATTCCGTAAAATTTACGATAAAAAAACGGCAGCTGTGGTTGCCGGAATTTTACTGTAAAAAATAAGGTAGCAACGTTTTAGGTTTTACGGTTTTAACTTAAATTTACAGTTAAATACTGTATTTTCATTAACTGATATAATGTTAATATACCAACCTATTGAAGTACTGAAATCTGTTTTGCACCTTTGTAATACACTGATAACCACCAAATGGAGGTGGTAATGAGAAAGTCACATGATGAATCAAAGCCCATCACTAGCAGCTTTTAGATAATAACATATATAGAAGGTGCACAGTGTATTCACACAGACACTAAACACCATCATGGTAACACACATGAAACTGAAATAATGCAATAAACATTCATTTAACAACATTAGGTGTAACACACAACCCTAATATACAAAACTGATAAGAAAAAACTAAGAAGAAACATAGTTATTTCAACAAAAAAACATCAAATTTTAAATGTAACGCAGGGAATTCTGGGAATGTCAATTTACGGTATACTACCGCAAAATTAATGTCAAATACATGTAATGTCCAATACAGTTTTTCACCGTGTATAGTAGGGGAATTTACCGTTAACCATTTAACAGGTTTTTACTGTAGCATTTTTACAGTCTTTTACCGTTAAATTCACAGTCATTTTTTACAGTGTAGGCTTCAGACTTAGCACATTTATTTACCTGTTGAGGGTTCCCGGGTCCAGCACTTATCCCAAAGTCCTTCTTTATAAATGTGTTGTTAATGGTATGGGAGACATCATGAAAAGATTTTCCATAGTCTTCACTATAAAAAGATAGTAAATCAGTAAAGAAGATCGGTATCCGAGTAAAAGCCTGAATTGGCCACATTAGTCTACATTAGGTGTCCTGTCCTGTTCCCTGGGATCTTTTGTCCTGCAAAGTTCAACTCAACCCTGTTCAAACACAATTGAACCAGCTAATGAAGATCTTCGTGAGCACTTGATAATTACAGACAGGTACGTTTGGAGCAGGGCTGGAAGTGAAGTCTGCAGGTAGATAGATCTCCAGCAAAAGGATTGCGCACCTCTGTTCTACATGCTATTAGGTAAAAATTGCACCACTGACCTCCTATAAAGGCGCGATGAACCGCCTTCATAAAACGAGTCAGAGGGAGCGCTGAGTGTGGAAAGAACCAGGATTACCTGAGATGGACAGAAAAAGGGTTCACACTACCCCTGCATAATTTCTTTATAAATATATATAAACCCGTGTAAGTGTCTGATTATGAATGAAAACTACAATGTTCATCCAAATTTTCAAGACAATAACCTTAAACCAGAGAACTTAGATCAGATAATGATTAGTAATCTTTAGATGATTTGGCAAGACTGACCCCAGTTCCATCTCCAACCCATGTGAGGGTAAAACTGGATCCATCATCACCATGAAACCCCGTCTAGAAAAGACCAGAGGACAGAGTTGCACATATACTGATGGAAGTGGACTTCCCTGTTCTGGCTGTCATTTAAAAGGATCGTTCACACTAAAATATAAAAAAGATAATAATAATAATTACTCTTCCTAGTGTTGTTCCAAACCTACAAGGCTTTAATATTATTATTATCATTATATAAAAGATATATGAACATTCTTTCAGTTTTCTATTTCAGTATCCAAAACAACATTGGACAAATAAATAATAAAATAAAATGACTTTTAATTTTGCTACTGCCAACTATCAGTTAAAATGTCAGTAAATACAGAAATACTTTTAGCACGACTATAACCTTTGTGACCATAACATTCAGTTAAATTGGGTCACCTTTTGACATTCATCTCAATGTCAAAAGTAAAACGCCGCAATAAAATCAATTATTCGGATGGAGTGAACTTCAGCATCTCGGTCTCACCTCGTGTGTGTGGCTGAGCAGAAGCGCCTGGTCTTTGGGTGACAGTGGAGACTTGCATGCTGTGAAACGCGCTTGTCCAGTCCAGGTGTCCCGTCTGTGTCTCGAGTGACCGCGTGGAGACCGAGAGAAAGTCACTGTCCTCGCGTTGCGCTTCCCATGAACGAACGCGTCCTCACCGAGGACCAGTAAGCACGCACTACCCAATACAAGCACTGTCCAGTTCATGACTGACGGATAGAAAGAAGTACGTTTCCTAATGCCTCAGAAGATGCGCGGGAGGAGTGAACGCCGCTGATCGGGCTCCGACTCACCGCAGACTCAAGTGTCTCAAAGCAATGTGAGCTGCCTGCCTCAACAGCATATCGTTCCGAGTCAGCATTATGGCTAAAATATGCTGCACGAGACTATAATGCCAAACAAAGCAACATTTTGGTACATTATAGACGTGTACAGGGCTTTTGGGCATCAGGTGCAGGATTTTGAGCATCAACGCGGCAGCATTTGAATAGTATGCGCATAAGATTTTTGTAAATTGTGATTTATGGCTACGTGCCAACACGCTCTTATAGCAATTCGTAACTATTTAACGTTTTAGTACGTTCATATAAATTAAAACGACTTCATTTGTACGTTTTCGAACGATTTGCTTACGTACCACTGTTAAGTTTAGGACCTCATGCTTATTTAAAGACTATCCAACGTTTTTTATAGGAGTCAAGTCGTATGAATTCGCCAAAACGTAACATAGTTGCGTTTTCTCACAAGATAAGTTTGTGCGCGCAGCACTTTTGGGCCCTAGGCTGTGTGGGTAGGACGCTCACTAGGTTTTGAGACACAACCATAGACTTGACTAAATCAAATATTAACTTTATAAATACATTTTTCTTTGTATTGTTGCCTACCGCTTCAATTGACACTTTTTTTTTACTACATCTTTTGGCAGACAATTTGTCGAGTTGTTACGTTCTTAATTATTCGGTCACACTTCACAAGGACACAATGTTCTTTATTAAAAATTATTATTTATCATAATACCCGCTACCCATGCACTATGTCATCCCTATAGAAAGTTAATGTGACAAATAACCTCAGGTTCACAAATTACAGTTTAATTGAATGAAAAGGGATGATTTTGGACTCATATAAAACATGGCTTCACAGGTTTGAAACATGTTACAGATCATTTTCAATATGTACAACAAAAACCCTGCAACACAAACCAACAATTTATGTAAACTTTAAAAGCCCCCTGCCCTCCGTTAGAATAATACCACCAGACAAATAATTAATAAAGTGCAACAGGGTTTTCTTAAAACATCTCCGAACTTTCTATTGCAAAGCACCATGAGTCGCTTAAAAGAAAACAGCTCACAAATGTCACAGTATGTTCAGTTTTTGGCACATGGTGAATGTAATCACTCAGGTAGGTTAAGAAAGGTCTGGAAGCGCGTCCCGTGGGCTTGAGAGTCTCTCTCTGTCTCTGTCCAGAGGAGCAGCCAGCTCTTCCAGCTGCTGTTGCTGACTGTTTTCCAACTCTTCCAAGCGTCTCCGCAGCACAGACAACTCCCTCTGGTGCTGATCCTCCTGAGAGAGGAAATGCAGAAACAGATGAGTGGGATGAAAAGGGGGGAAAGAGAGAGAGGAGGATGGGAAAGTAGCAGATTTATATCCTGGGTTTTGTTATGGCTGACAAGAGAATATTCTACATCGTGGATGGGATGTTTGCAGACACCTGTATGTTTAAGAAGATGGACTCTGCTGGGATGAGAAGGGATTGGGCCAGAGGGGTGGAGGAGGTCATTTGGTTGCCCAGCAACAGACGACGGAACTCATTGTGTCTCCTCTGCAGCTCCTTCAGACGCTTGCTGAGCTGAGCATGTTCTTCAGAGTATGAGGATTTCCTGAGCACACACATAAATAAAAACAATATTATATAAAAAACACACATATATACATCCTTTATTCAATATAGTCTCCTTATAATGTTATAAACTGAAGACGGAAGTACTTTCTGGCTGTGCTTGCTTCAATTTCAAGTTCTTCTATCTTGGCTTCTAGGAGCTGAATCTTGTCTTGGAGTTTGTTTTCTTTCAGTTCTGTCATGGTTTTCCTCTGGATAAGAAAAGAGACCAATAATGCACCTTTAATAATAGCAATTGTCATGACAATCAATACAATACAATATAAAAATACCAAACAAGATAGTCCAAGTTTTTCCAAAAGCAAGTTTGTAGAATTTAGGCACTACCTTTTTCTGTGCAAATGCTGCCCTCTGCAGGCGCTCTTTGGCCTGGCTGTATTTCTCCCGTAGTTCTGCTTCTTTTTCCTGCAGTTTGTGTTTCTCCTCCAACCATTCCACCCGCCTTTCCTCCACTAACCTGTGACAATAAAAGGACATTTCACTTAATTAATTTAACTGTTCGCTGTTCACTACATTGTTACAATTTTTAGGCTATTTTCATGGGAAGAACAGTAAAATCGCATTAATATTAATTATAAAAATTATAAATTATAATAAAGGAGATAGGGATATATAAACAGGATAATTTACATACATACAGAAAAAATATATATTTTTCTATAATATATAGATAAAAATGGAAGAAGTTGACATGTTTAGAAAGTGAACAGTAAATGTTGAGAGTAAAGGGGAATGGAAATCAGAACATATCACTAGTTAATTTGAGTCAAATCACTCATATGAGCACTAAGGATCAATGGGAGTAATATTTGCTAAATATTAGGCCATGCCTCTGATATATTCACATATGATGATATGGTTACATTTTTAAGATGATTTAATATAGCTGTCAGGACAAAAAAAGTTATATTATCTAATGTACCGTTATAAACAAATCACCCATATTTGTAATTGAAGAGGAAAATGTCTATCAAGCACTTTTATACAAGTTGAATCTTGCTTTGAAACCAACATTTCATCTTACCAATCAACTCTCAAGCCTCTAATCTGAAGAAATGCTAAATGGCACGTTTTGATGCTAGCTCAGCAAGCTGTCAGCATTCTCTGAAATATTTTTGGTTCTCATTTGACAGTAATGCTAGTATCCTGGTTACGATAAGGCGTACCTCTCGGCTTCCTGTTGGGTCCGTTCCATTTGTGTGCGCGTGCTCCGTAGGTCCTCTCTCACTCGCTCTAGACTTTCTCTCAGTCTGCTGTTGGTGTCCAAGAGCTCACTCTCAGAGTGAGACAGGGTTCCTATCTGTAGATTCAGCTCAGTGTTTTGCTGATAAACAATTTACAAAACAAGTTATATGATACGTCATGAATTTCATCTCTATATTACGTGCAGTAATTTCACTTATTTTCCAGTGCTTACTCGTCTCAGGTCTGCGCTTTCTGCTCTTAAGGCCTCCAGCTCTTCCAGCTGTTGGCCCTGCTGCTGAATTTTGACTCTGTATCATAAGCATTCATACAGGAAATCAAACAGGGCTGTTTATAGCTACTGAGAATTTAGTAATTTTTTGTAACTCAGTCAGAGCCAACATAAAATAGATATAATTGTGAACGGAACAACTTAATTTTTCCCACAAGAATAACAGGAATTCAAATAAAAATGGTCCGTTTTGATTTCATGTGGACATTAAACAGAAATAAATGACTCTGAAGAAGCTTGCCTCAGGTTTTGAAGTTCCTTCCGCACAGACTCTTCACCCAATTGTGCGGCACGGAGACGCTCTTCCCACTCCTCTTTCTGAGAGTTCCCTGATGCCTCCTGAAGAGCTCTCTGCTGTTCAAGCTCAGATAAACGATTCTCCAGCTCCAGCCTGGTGACAGTGAAATAAATTCATTTGAATGTAGAAAATCCCATGAAGCTTTGAATCAGTTCCTTGTCTGATATTAATAATAGTGCATACTTTTCTTCCTGAAGGGTGGCCATCTTGTGTATCTCCTCCTCTCTTGCTGCCTGAACCCTGCGCACCATCTCACGCTCTTTTTCAGATATCAACTCTTTATTTCTCTCCAACGCTGACTTCAGGACCTCAATATCCGACTGCAGACCTGAGAGAGAGAAAGACACTTGTCATTACTGTAAAACAGGTTCCAAGAAGTAAATGAAAGAAAGGCAAGATGACTACCCTCTACTTGGCACTGCAGTGTATCTCGGTCTCTTTCTAGTTCTCCTTTGGCTCTGACACACTCTAGTTTTACGTTACTCAAGTCCAGCTTATGCGTGTGCTTCATCTCTTCAATCTGGCCAGTAAACACACACAATCGACAGGATATATTACTACAGATATCAACGCATGTGAACATGTGGTCATAAAATCTGACTTGTCACTCAGGCTGTATTCATGCACCTGACTGTTGAGTGAATGGATCTCCCTTTCGGCTTTGTGCAGTTTGCTTGTGAGGAGTGTGTTTTGTTCCTGAGATAGACGGAGTTCACTTTCTGTCCGGTCCAACTGCATACGATAATATATAATAATATAATAAAATATTTTATATTATTTATGTTATTAAATCTTTTTTTCTTTTTTTATGTGTTTGTCAAATGCTGTGACATGAACACATCACATATTAATAAAAAAGTTAAGATGTGCTTATTTGATTATAGAAATGCAGCAAATGATTTCTTAAAATATTTCAAATATTCAAAAATATTCCTAATGAAATAAATATATAAAATAGTTAATATAAAAACTGCAATATCCTAAAAAGTGAACCAGAGACTTTTAATGTGGTCTCAAAATTTGGACTTCACTGTACATAAATTATGTTATACTTCATACATTTATAAATTCATAATATATTATAATATATATTTTATATAAAATATTTATTTTATTTTTTTAAATATTGATAATATTTTCATAATATATGGAATCCATATCCAGGAGGAAAAGGAATTGGATATTAAGTGAATGTTTTTTCTTACATCATGAGCATGTGTATTACCCACTGTGCCAATGCTCTGACAAATTTGTTGTATCCATTAAAGGGGTCATATGATGCGATTTCAAGTTTTTCTTTCTCTTTGGAGTGTTACAAGCTGATTGTGCATAGATAAGATCCCAATGTACAGTATTTGAAAAATAATGTGCTTTTTGAACATTAAAGCATGTCAACATATTCTGTTACACCAAATACACCAAATAATGATCTTTAAAAAAGCATCATATGAGCCCTTTAATATAAAAAACAAATCTGACATTTTACACTGAACTATACGGTTTTAACAGAAAGGCATAAACTTCATCAAATCTTATTTGTATCATCAAAAACCTACAACTCTTCACTTTTATCCGCTCACCTCCAGTGCTTTTACTGCAGCCTGGGAC